AGCTGTACTCTTTTCTCTGTGGTTGCCTCTTCTCTCCAGTAATATACCAATTGTATCAAATCATCCTCCTACCTAATGGTATCAACTCTCTTGCCTTTTTGGGACTCCCTTAGCTCGCTCCAAGTTGTTCTCATGTGTTTACCAATCTGTCCACTGCAGAGACGTGTTCAGGACTGCTCTCCTGGTTGCTCTCATGCTTATTAGTGGAGCCTGAGATTACAGTAGGTCCTTTGGCAGCAACATCATTTTATTGAGTCATTTTGACTAAAGTCATTCCTTATTTCTACTTAAGGGCAGAAACCATGTATTCCTAGCATCCATCCTGTTGCATTTTGTTTAAAAGTTGGTACATAAATCTGGTACTTGAGTAATTACATTTTTGAGCTAAATTTTATCCCTGCTGAATTTCATCTTGTTGGAGAAAGTCTTTTTGTGAAACTTGGTTCAAATAATATAACATAGCCAATATCCTCCCTAGCTTTTTGTTAATGTAAGTTTATGCCATTGATGAAATTATTCAATATGATTAAATAATAATATCTGTAATAATAGTAGATATTTATTGAACATTAAATATATGCCAGGCATCATAGCTCAGCATTTCCATATGTATCCTCGGTAGTTCCATACAGTACTGTGAAGTAGATACCGTTAATACCCTCATTTTACACATCAGCCATGAATCAGGTATAGGTCCCCGAGGGCCGCTTCTGAAATCTTTCTTCTAGTTGATATTAATTCACACATCAGTATCTTTTGAGGAGAGTCTTTCAACCAGTTATGAACAAATAAACTTACTTGTACTAGAACCTAATACATAAATCTTTTATATACAAGATATCAGTATAATAAACTCCTGTGTATTTATCTTTATGATTTTTCCTGATTAGTAACATAAAACCATTGAGAAATTATAGAAACCATACAAAATTGTAAAGCAAAGATAATAATGACCCTGAATCTTACCATCCAGAACAACCACTGTTAACTTTAAAGTATTTCTTAGCCTTCTTTTTGACACATATACATAATCTCATGTTTCTTGTCAATTCTTCCCTACGTACAGTGCCCAATTCTTTCAGAACTGTAGCATTATCTGCTGCTTTTCAAAGAGACTCTTCTATAAGTGAGGAGATAATTAGTTAATTTGAATGATTATTTGACTTTAATATTTATGTTACTGGATCTCTTCAGCTTTTTAAAATAATAAATTTGTAATGAGGAGTAATATGTATTATTCATATGTTTTGTATTATTCATATGTAATGTTGGCTTATGAAATGAAATTGAGTGATGTTGAGTAATTGGTAATGTGAGTGAATCTCTATTCAATTTTATTTAAAAAATATATCTTTGTTTATTAACCACCATATGCCTTTCTATCTTTAAATGACTTTCTAAGGACTAGGACCTCAGTGTCTCACCACTCGTCCAAACCACTGCTCTTTCTGTTACACTCTGCCTCCCTTGTATAAGAATGTCAAGAAGGCATTGGGCTTTGTGATCCTTTTTGAAAAATTAGGGTTTGATTCAAGAAGCCATAGTAAGACTTAAAAGAGGGAAGTAACATATCCAAAGGGGCATGTTAGAATAGAGAGTTTGGGAAAATGAAAAGGAAGGTGATAATGGTAGAATCTGATAGTTCAGCAAGGTAGGTCTTTAATCTCAGGTAAGAGATTAAAAATACATGGACGAAAAGAAACATAAATTTTATTATTATAAGAAAGCTCATCATGGTTTTTCATGGTCAAATTGAATATGTGAAAATAAAGGCAAATAATTCGGCAACTGTTCTGGATACCACTTTCTATGACCACATTAAAATTTTGATATCTAGAGAAGTTTGGCATTTATATTTCAGGATAATATTATAAGCATCTATTTTTTGGATGGATCAGCCCTTTGGTCCTGTCTTTGTGAGGAAGGCACCGTGAGGACTGGTTTAGAAGTACTGGGTTTGAATCTGGGTTCTGCCACTTACAAGTTACCTGACCCCTCTCAGTCTCAATTCATTCATCTGTAAAATGGACATGAGCAAGCTAGTGTGAGTATCAGCTGAAATAATAGATGAATGTCCCTAATATATGAATGGCATGGAGAAGGTTCTCAGCAAAGGCTAGATCACTTCCTGCCTGTGTCCCATGTCTTTCCCACCTCTCTGTGGCTGCTGCAGTTAGGCAACTGATATTGAGATGTGGGTGTATAACTCAAGGAGCTTGGATTCTTTATTACTTCCCTTAGAAGAGAAAGTGTGGGCTTATAAGGTCATTCAATGATAATTCTTTTATCTCTCTTTACACCCAGGATCAGCTTTTGTTATTTTGCTATTTTTTTTAGTTATACTGTACAGTTGCTAGAAACATGAAAAGCAAGGAATTATGATTTTAAATTTATATAACAGACTTTCAGCAAAGGGTCTGCAGAAGATTCCCTCCACTGTTGTAGATGTGCAGCCTAGGAGATGTGCTAATCTTAGAGTATAGTAGCTTGTAGGAATTTTGGATGATTTTATGAGAATAAAAGTTTGATGTATAAATCCTATTTGCTTCTCATGAGAAGGAAAAGACTGGATGTGGGTGATGACAGAGGTATCAGACCTCAGAATGGGGATTTTCCTGATGGTTTCCAGTAATCCACTTACTGTGTGGTCCAAAATAAGTTTCAGATAGGAGTGTTGCAAGAAACAAAGAGGTAACGTGTAAATCACTTTCTGCAGTTTTGGCACATACTAGTTCCTCAATAAATGTTTGTCTCTTTTTTTCCTCCCACTCTCTGAGAAAAGAGTTCCTTTTCACTAACATGTAAGTTGTAGAACTGAGCATTAGACTGTTGCTGCTTGCTCATTAGAGTTTGATAGCCTACTCTGGCCTTTGTAAACTGCTACCATCAGATGAGGTGTTGCTGGTTCTCAAATGACTTTATCTGATCTAGAGAAATTAAAAATTTATGAATTAGTAGATTTTAAGAATTAGGAAAAAAATATGTGGTAAATACTAGGTGTCTTTACCCTGATACTTTAGTCCCCCGCCCCCCCCTCCCCCCGCCTTTGTTTCTGTGGTAGGAGATCGTTTGGGAGAACTTTTTTAAAAAAAACAAAATGCAATAAAAAAAATTCTTCTTAAAGTTATTAAACTTAGAATGAAAATATGGGAGTAGATAGGGGGAGACCGTGTAATAGGGCCAAGAATCACTATGTCACTGAATTTTACTTCTCTTGCAAGCAGCCTGTGTAATTTTGCTTTGCCTTATCTTTCTTACAATAGTAATAAAAATAATAATAACAATACTTTGCATTTGTATAACACTTCCAAGTTGATCCTGTTGTTAAAGTGTGATTCTTCAAAAGCTAAAGACAAAGTTTTCATATAAACATGAAATAAACATATGTCATAGATTTATTCAACTCGTTAAATAGTGAGACATCCACTGAGATGTTAAAACTGATTCAAAGTGTATTTGAGGAGCCGAGTATTTATGGACTATTTAATAAAGGGATTTTAGAATAAGATTGGTAAGTTAGATCCAAAATTGATAATGTCCTACAGGATCGTCAACTATAATCTTTGGGGTTAACTTTTCCATTGGACAGAAACTATTTGCATTTATTCCAAACAAAAATCTTCACATTAACTCCTGTCCCTATGGAATAGTAAATAACTCAGACAATAGGAAGTTAATCAGAAGTGTAAGTCCAGCACTGCACCAAGGACACGCAGGGATCTCTTTTGTCTCTTCTCAAGTTTTAGGTAACTTTTCTCACTCTGTCTTTGCGTTGAAAGGCATCATCAAAACTTGTTAATTTGTACAAGGTTATATCTTTGATTTTAGGAAACAAAGTATCATAGTCTGATATAAAACCTAGCCATAGAAAGTGCTTTGTGTGAGTGTATGTTTTAATGACCAAATGTTTATGTTTAATAAAAACATATTTAGTAATGCCATAGCGTATGTGTATTCTGAGAAGGTAATGTTTATGGAGTTTTTTATATTACTGAATAAGTTAGTGTTTTAGATATTAGATATGGGAATATTGAACAGTGAACCCAATTGTGGCTCTCAGGATCCTTCTGCTCTCTCTTGAAGTAACTGTCTGTGGTATCTCTAAGAACAGCTTCCCCTGGTACCAGTCCTGTGCTCTAGAACAGAACTACTGCTTAGTCCCACATCCATGATGAGATTTCCAATGATCTGTGCTTAGGCTACTTCTTTGGCTGGAATGTAGTCTGACACATTCCTGTCTGCTGAAAGTTCCAACACAATTGAAATAGCCTCCACAGAGCATTCCCTGAACTCAGCTGTAAGGGATGTTGTTAACAACACTTTGCAATTCCTCATGTTTCTTATTATATGTTGTCTTTGATTTGTTATCTGTGAATCTGATTTTGTCTACTCCATTAGATTATAAATTTCTTAAAATTAAGTGCTGGGGCCTTGTTTTATTCGTCTTTGTGTTTCTGGATAACCAGAGTTTAGCATGGGGCCTTCTGTAGCCCAGTGCCCTTGCAGGTGTTTATTCAGTTGATGGGGATGTCAGAAGATCGTGGGGGGAGAACTTACCATGTACCTGGTTCCAGTAATTCTAATACCATCCCTAAAAAGTGAATTAATACATTAGTCAAATAACTTTGGCTTGCCGTTTAACAAAAAATTGAGTACCTATTATGTATCAAGCATTGTTCCAGATGCTTTGGATAAAAAGAGAAGACATAGCTTTTATCTTTAAGTCATGTGCAGCCTACTGGAGGAAACAGATATGTAAATTAATAAATGCAATCTAGCATGACATTTGTTCAAGGTCACATAGCCTGTGAGTGGTGGAACTGTAATTGAAACCCAAGTGTGTTCAACTCCAAAGCCACCAAAGCCAAGATGCTTCCAGAACAGAAAAACTAGTTGGGCTAAGAGTGAAGTCTCCTCAGAGGAGCAAAATAACAGCTTTGCTCTTCCTATCATTTGAAACAATTATTAAATCAAACCATTTTGTTTTATTTGCAAACTAGGTCCTTCAGAAGCTTGGGAAAGCCGATGAGACAAAAGATGAACAATTTGAAGAATATGTCCAGAACTTCAAACGGCAAGAGGTAAATTGCACTTGTTTAGTTTCTGGAGTGGGAAATGGGGTGATTATGTGTGTGTTTTAGCATATCTAAAATGCTTTAAGATTGAAGAAAGAACTTTATTAGACGTGGTGTTAACCTGAAAGTAATGCCTACTAGTTCTGTAGATTATGGAGCGCAAAGGACAAGGCAGTAGGCACTGCAGGAGAAGATTTACGTTTTAGAATCTCAGGAGATTAAAACATTGCTTCTCTGGAGCTTTTCAATATAGATTACTGAGCTACAGGAAAGATGATGTTTTTGGTGATTTATATTCCACTAAGTATTAGCAATAGTTAAATACTTTTGGCAAAATTACTTCAATTGCTGCCTGCTTCAAGATCATGCATTCTCAGTAGGGATTATATCTCCCCCATGAGGCTGAAAATTGGTTCTTGGTGGGTGAAAAAAATCATATTCTTTATCATGTAAACAGATATATACTCTATCTATGGCATTAAAATTTCATGGGGGTGGTGATATTAGGGAAAAATCTAAAACAGCTCCTTAGGGGAGGTGATAATGAAAAAAAGGTCGAGAAACACGATTTGTGATATTTGTTCCTTAAGTGGTCTAATAGACGCATAAATTTAAAAAAAAAAAACATGTTTTAAATTATTTGTTTATATCTCTTAAGGCTTGGATAATTGGCTAGCATGCATGAATGCCAGGGAGAGGGAAGCACAAGTGGGCTCTCTGAGGTTAGAAGCTTCAGATCTGGAGGTCATTCTAGAGGTGGGGCGGGAAGAAGGCTGGGCCAGCAGGCTCTGGAACATGGGGTTTGGACACGGGGAAAATGTAAGGATATGGATTTACTTTCCTGTTGTCATTGGAGCTACCAGTGTCCACAGAGGAAATTGTGGCCTTAGGGATGAGTATGTGAGAGAAAAGAGAGGAGTGTTAGAGAAGAAAACAGTAATAGAGATAAAAATAGATTATGTCCAAATAACCGAATAATAGATTTATGAAGATAGAAAGGGAATTCCTAGAGAATGTTGGATCTAGGTCCACAGAATAAGGTGTCTCCCAGTCTCCTCCAGGAGAATAGATTTTCCACGTCTCCTGATGTTCTCATTTATTGAGTTCTTACATACTCTCTTGTGCAACAGGATAGATAATGTCCATACAATAGGAAAATGTTCATATAGGTCATTGTCTTGGATTGCAGTAACTTCCCACAGAAAAAAATTTGTCAAGCAGTACCCTGTTAATTTTCAGGACATTCCCAAATGTTTGCTTTAAGAGATTGGATTTGAATAGAAGTGACTCATATTTAACCATTTTTCCAACTTGAAAATTTATACTCTATCCTTCGAAACCTAGTTATCCAGCTTGGTGTGTCCCTATGGAGCGAATTAGTTCTTTACTCTTATTTTTTCCTCCATTACTTTTATGGTATTATGATGTTGTCAGCACCCCAGAAGGCTAACCTTGAGAAGCATCAAGTTCAGAAATGCGTTAATGACTAGGAAGCATTTTGCATTTTGCAGTTACAGTAAATTATTATTTCTCTTTTTTGGACTTTGTTGGAACCAGGTTAAGATTATTATTATTATTTTTTTTTTTGTCTAAGGTACTAGAGAAAAGTACAGTTGACTAAATCATCAACTTCATCGGTTAAATGATCTGTGCCACAAGGAGCTGCAGCATGGGGTGACTTTATAATGCTACTCTGCCATCTATTCCTGTGTAGGAATATCAACTATTTCATTTGTATAAAATGAAAATATATATCATTTATACATTTTCAAATAGTATGTTATCATTTTTGAAGATCAACACCTTAGTTCTCTCAAGAATATTAGCATATTTCAAGATCTGGGTAAAACATCAAAATTTGGGGAAATTTGCACAAGCAATTTTACTTTATAAAAGTGAAACAAATAGATTGGAAATGTAGAAATAGTATTTATCAGGGAATCTTCTGACTCCCTTTGGTTCCCTTTGGAAATAATTTTGCATCAAAAATATCTTGAATTGCACATACTCATTTCGATGTTTTTTATTTGTTTATGTCAAAAAAGTAAATTTATAGTCATTTTAGTGCGGTGAGGAGGAATGGTCCTTTAACTATCTGTATATTAGAAGGAGAGAAGGACAAAAGGAAGGGGGTGGGAGGAAGTATGGAGAGAGATTTATTAATTTTTTTATAGAAGCATATTAAAGCTTGGGAGGAAGAGCCAAACTGACTTTATTAACACTCTATATTGGGAAAATTGTGTCCCTTTAATCCCCAGTGTGTATTTGTGACCAATTCAGCATGGGTCACTGAAAAAGATGAGGTGTTTACGTAACACATTAATCTAGGAAGTAAGATTGCCCAACATGTGGTGACCTCTACAAGGCCTATGATTTTAGTATTAACATAATACCCGAAGATACTATTTACAATATGAGACAAACCATATTTGAATTTGTGCATTATGTTACAGTCATCTGATAACTCTCAATTGTACTTAATCAAAAGTAGCTTATTCTAGAATGCTCTAGAAAGAATTTATCTTGCTTTTATATTCCTTTTAATGCAATCATAAGGGTTGTCATAATTATTGATTTATTTCCTGCTTGTTCATGTTGGAATCAAAGGTGGCAGAGGGTCTGTTTGAACTCTAGTTGAGGCTTAGCTTATATTTTATTCCAACCCCAAATTTTCTTTTTGATCCCAAACCTCTTTTTTCTAAAAGGTGGTTTGTGTTGGACCAAGAACATGGATAATGGGTCTGTACATACTCTCTCCATTGCTGTAGTTTTTGTGGTCTAGCTTTTATAAACTGCTCAGTTAGGAAAAGAAGGAAACAGTGAACTCCTCTACCAAGAATTTGGGATTTTCTGTGACGATTTAGTGCTACGGAGAGCAAAGATTATAGAAATCCAAAGGAATAACAAAGTCTGACTTCAACATTTCCTCCCCAGAGGTTTATTTTTCTTTGTATTTTTCATCTCTTAACCAGTGTCACTAACGAGTAGCAGAATTGGCTGTTGTGAATATTGGCTGCTTTCAGTGCACCTGGTTGCTGGCTGACGGATCTGTTAATGATCAGAGAAAAGGTCCCACAGTGGAAGGAAGAGCTTTGGCTTCTCTCCCTCCTTCCTGTTAATAACTGCCCCCACTAAGCCATGCCTATGACAGCAAGTGTGATTGTCCCCACTAAGCCATGCCTATGACAGCAAGTTACTAATTAAAACAAGTAACTAGTAAGCGAAAGGCTGGTTGGGCATCAAAAAACCGACTATTTGATCATTTTCAGTGAGTACAGAAAGGTGCTACAGAAAGGTACAATCTGAGAACAATGCTTCAAATAAAGGAAAAGGGAGTATCAATTCTCACCATCTGCAGAGCTTCTCATTCTCTCTTTTAAATACCATAGCTGTGTAGTTCTGCTGCTTTTCTCCGTGTCTGCCACCAAGACACAGCCTAACTTTGGTGTTATACAAATGAAGAAGAAAAGAAACATTGGGACCTTGAAATCCTCTCCAGTGGTGAGAATTCGGAGGCAGTGATTCCAATTATTAGGATAATCCACTGACTGAGAGCTGGAGTCATGTCTTCTCTCTGATTGCTCCTCAGCCCAGGGATACTGTCTGGCTGCTTTCATCTTTTAATCTCCACGGGATCCAGGATTTGCACATAAGCTTAAAAATTTGTTAAACTTGAAGTGGAACTGGTGGCAGAAATCATCGTTTCCAACACATTCCCAGAGCAGGTTTTTATTTCTGGCATTGAAGAGATGTTGAATATTATATGAAATTTGGTATTCAGTTTCACAACATTTTTTAGTACATATGTACATAAATAGTTAAAAATAAAACTTACAGAATAGACGTTTTAAAAAAATATAAATACAAAATATACTCCCACATTGTGTTCACATGTAGATAAAATTTTTATTTATAGCAAATCACATTTACATTCTGAAAAATTTTGCAATTTGTTTGAACCAATAGGCCCAGCAGATACCTTAGGACTTTTTTTTTAAACCACAGATAACCATGATGTGAATATGAATATGTTACTGTATCCACCTTTCATTATATTAATAGTGACTTTTCTCTGAAATAACTGTTGCCTTGACTACTGTGAGTCCATGAGGTCTCTTTTGGGTAATGATCCGGTTCTAAATGCCAGCATCCTAGCCCAGAGTGTGGAGAACCTCATTCAGCCAACAGAGCCTCCTGTCAGGTCACTACACCTTCTGGACTCTGAGTCAGAACCTCAGGTGGTGGGTTTTGTACCCACCAGAACAGTGTTTTTCAAATTGACAGCTCCACCAGAATCACCCAGAAGGCCTGGGTACAGCATAGATTGCTGGCCCCGCCCCTGGAGTTTCCAATTCTATAGGTCTGGGGTGAGGCCTGAGAATTTGCATTTCTGACAAGTTTCAAGATGATGTAAATTATGCTGGTCTGGGGACAACACATGGAGGACCAGTTCTTTGTTTCTATTCATACAGTGTTTTTTTTCCAAGCACTTCCTCTGACTAGCTCTTGAAACTTCTCATTATATGTCTGGTGTCTATTTTTAGTGTTGTCATGACAAAATATGGTCATGCTCTGACTTACCTGTGATCTGCATATCTCAAATCTGCTATGAGGATCTTATCTTTACCAGGCATGATTTTGGATGCAGTGGCAGAGTTCCCTTCTTCCCAAGGTTGTTGATCTTGGAAACTGATGCCCCTGGAAGAGATAAAATATGTGCTGCTTACACCTTAATGAGTTTAATAGGCTCTTCCTAGGTACTCGGGCTTAATGGGGGGAGCATATAGAAAGCATTAGAACTCTAGATGTAGGATCCTGAGAAAAAAATGAAAAGTACTTATCTAGGGTCAGATAAGTGCAGCAAATATAAAGCCTTGAAAATGAAAAGATCTTTCAATGCAGTTGAATTAGCCAGTTAGCTTCATGTGCTCATTCCCAGCAGGATCACCACAGAAGTGACGCTGTGTTCTTTCCAGTCCCCGACATGAGAAGACACAGGACATTGA